TCAATCCTCTCAGCTGAAACCAGGACACCAATACTTATCCTCCAGCTCCAGACGTGGGTTACAATCACACACCATCTTTGAGGAACACAGGTTTCTCTACTAGTGGTGTTCTCCTGTTGGAGATGTGCATCCTCCAGCTCTATTTCTACCTGTGTGGTTCTCTATAGCCTTCTAAGTCACGCACTGGTGAGGGACCCCCCTGCGAGGTCACGTCCATACACCTGAGGTGGGAGTCCCTGCTTTTTACACCCTGCAGTCGGTCCCTAGTTGGAAGGCAGGCTACTCTCCGTCCCGCTGGGCAGCTGCTCTGCCTGGCCAAGGCAGAGATCATGATGTATGCAGGGTGACTTCTGGCAGTGTCAAACCAGGTTTTGACTATTGTGTTTTTGGACTCACAGATACCTCCTCACTCTTATAAATATTCATGCTTCTTTGGTACTTCCTTTCAGGATGATTCCTTCCTCCCCCCCCCCAAAGTCTTTTTATAGTTCCTTTTTTACTATTTAGTCCAGCTGATGGTCATCATCTTACCCTTCAATGTTGATCAGTTTTGGGTAAATACCTTCTCAGACTGCTTCTTGTGTTCATAGAATCATAGAATGGTTTGGGTTGGAAGGGACCTCAAAGATCATCTAGTTCCAACCCCCCCTGCCATGGGCAGGGACACCCTCCACTAGACCACATTGCCCAAAGCCCCATCCAACCTGGTCTTAAACACTTCCAGGGATGGGGCATCCACAACCTCTCTGGGCAACCTGTGCCAGTGCCTTACCAAACTAACAGTAAAGAATTTCTTTCTAACATCTAATCTAAATCGACCCTCCTTCAGCTTGAACCCATTACCCCTTGTCCTGTCACTACACTCCCTGATAAACAGTCCCTCACCATCTTTCCTGTAGGCTCCCTTCAGAAGCTGGCAATTAGATCTCTCTGGAGCTGCCTTTTCTCCAGGCTGAACAGCCCCAACTCTCTCAGCCAAATCAGACATGGCGTTTACACTCACTTTCCTGTCTTAACAGCTGTTGAGACCAGGCCGTGTTGCCTCACTGGATTCTTACGTGAGCATGTTAAATTCACTAATCTGGCAGAAACTGTACTGTAGGTCTTCTGAGCCTTGCCACTTGATGGCGTTTTGCAACGCTAGCGTAGAAGGATGGAGTGCCGAAGGTGTGACGTTTCCTTGTTTTAGCTCTGACACATCTTTCAGGACATGCTACAGACGTCAGCTTTGATTTGTCCTAGGTTGTTTTTTTTTTCCCTGTCACAAAGCTGTAGGAGATCTGGCCTTTTACAATTGCTTTTTTTCCCCCTTTTTTTCTGTCCCCCTTTCTTTTTTTCCTTGCCTCTGTCCCCCAGTGGGTAAGAGGATGCAGAACAAGCATCTTCAGCCAAGTGAGCCAGAGAACAGTGTCAAATACTCTTACATTCTCTGTTTTTTCTTTCTCTTTCTGGATTTCCACTTATCTCCTTGGTTGCATCTTCTATCTTTATTGCATTTCTTGAGAAATTTGTCTGTCAGTCTTCCTTTGGCATGCTTGTTCATGTTATTGCCTTGACCAACAACTAAAGGTGCTTTTGTCTCGTCATACTTCTTGTTGCAATTCCTTTCTCTTCTGATGATTCTTAAGTTACTCTGCAACTATCTTATAGGAATTACTGCTTTCCAATCTTCTCCTATTTCCTTTCCCTGCTACTTTTAAGATTCACTTATCAAAAGAAAGTATATTTCTTTTAATATATAAGTATATATAAGTATACTTATTTTTTTAAATTCTCTAAACATTGTGCTTCACAAATGTAGATTCTTTTTTGCCCATGCACATTTAGTGCTTTTTCCTTCTTTACCGTCACACTATCAGGATGCAAGTTTGCCCTTCCATGGTTCTTTGTTTATTTTTCAGTATCTTGATTAATCTCATAAAAAAAAGACTTATTTCTTGCTTCTTATCTGTTTCTCTTCTCCTACATAAATGTTTACATGTTAAGCTTACGGTTTGGTGTACTTGAATAGTTTTATTTGAAAAATCCCATTTTACTGATGTGAATTTCTGTTGACCTGTCTGACAGAAAGGATTCTGCAGTTTGCAGACAACTGCAGGAGAGAGGGACACTTTTACTTGTGCAAAAAGTTACTAAAAATGTATATATGCAGCTGCTTGAAATCTGAGCAATTTATGCATTTATGTCTTCAGTTAGCCCACTACATACTCAAAACTGGTGTCTTAATTTAGGGTGACCGGTTTTGATCGTGTGTAGATCAGAAGGCATGCCAAATGCAAGATAAATGGCTAACTACCAACATTTTACAAAAGACTCAGAAATGTCTAGAGGCTAATGACTTGTCTGGTTTGAACAGGAGTTGCTGAAACTGTCATCTACACCAAATTTTTAAATGAAATGGTTTCAATCTCTGTTTTATGTTGGTGTACTGTACTAATTGAAGTTTGGATCATTGTGGGATGTTATGCTGTACAGAAATCTAAAAACCTTAATTTGTATGCAGTCACAGAAAAATATTTGCGCCAAGTTGGTCCAATTACATAAAAATCTTTAGAAATAACACAGTATCTGTTAGTATAGGCTTGTTAGCAGGTGGTGTCATTTGGATTGTTACCTTCATCTTTGTATTCACAATATATAGAAATCTGCATATATTATCTATTTAATTTTGTTTTTCAGGTGTCATTCTATTTAAAAACTGGCAGATCAATCACATAATTAAGTCAACCTCTTACCTGCTTCTAATTCTTTAAATACATAGTTTGGTGGTTTTTTTGGTCCAGTTTGTTAAACCTCCTGAGCAGTTACGTCTTTGACTCTATTTCTACTACCTCCCCCCTTCCCCCCCCGCAATATTCCTAGTTCATGTCTTATGAGGAGTCTTGTACTTGGCTTCTTTCATAGAAGGTTGGGCTAAATTCTGGTTTAAACTCTTTATCATCTTTTAAATTGCTGCAAATCACTGCATTTTGGCACATATGTCTTAAAAGCATATAAACTTAATTTTTTTTTCTTCCCTTCAGATGTGTGTGTTCTCAGCCTGAGAAACCAAGCAATGAAACTTTGCAGATGTGGAGGAGTATGAATAAGTCTGTAGAAAATATAGCATGGAGTAACCTTACAGTTTCTGTGAGTATCTAAAAGCTGTGTGTGTATGTATGTATAAAGAGTAAATACCCACACAATACCAGTCTTGATTAATGTTTTTCATCTGGTTTCTTTCTTGATTTGAACCTGGACTGTTTTCTTTAAAACCGTATTTTTGAACTCTTTTTTTATTCCTCCCGTAATACTTTAAACAGTCATTGTAGTGGTTTGAATAAGTAAGTCCATGGCAGTAAATGCTAATAGATCTCTACTTGAGGTAGCCAGTTAAATCCTGGTAGGCAGAACAGTTGTCTTCCTGAAGTGCAGATGAACATGATGAGGTGAATAAACAGGAGATTGTTTCCCTCAGTTTTATGGAAAAGATGAACAAATATTTTGAAGAAGATGTGAAGATAGAATCTGCAATTAAAATGTGGTAGCAAACATTTCATTAGGTTGTTAGACATTGGTATAAAACTACAACAGAATTAAAGTGCCTAAATATTGATTGGAAAAAAATAATTATTTGGAAAATTGAAGGTTAAAAGAAAAGGGGAAGAGCTATTTGAAAGACTAGGCTGGAACGCATTACCTTCTGAGCTGGTTATTTCAAAACAATACCTAATTTTGTGGGTAGGTGAAGAGGAGGAAAGTTACCTTGTGGAAGTGATACTGAGGGCTTTTAGGAAGAACCATTTTTGCTGATTAGTAGTTCCTTGGGTGGGATTCAATTGTCTAAAAGCTGTCTACAGCCACTTTGCGTACCCTGGCATCTTGTTTCCACCTACATCTTGAATGATTTGGATCTGCTATAGATTGTGTGTTGTATTTGCTAGCTGTGTGTGCCTACTTTGGCTGTCTTAGGCTATCTAAAATGACAGTAGATATCAGCACATGGGCTCTCCTTGTGTGTGAGCCTAGATGTTCACACTGAAAGTAGAAGGAGTTTTGCACAGCAAAAATACTATGAAAAACCTCAGTGCTTGAGTTTTAGCTCTAGTGTTTTGTATGTACCACCAATGGCTCCTAGTCTACCATAATCACCCAGGATGGCAGTTCATCTTCAACTTAGTTTTTATATTTATTTTATATGTATTATTTTACCTACCTTTTCATTCTCTTAGGCATCTTTAGTCTTCCCAGAAAGACAGAACTGATCCAGAATTTGGTGGTGCTTATAATCAAAGTAGATTGTTAATGGGGAGAATTTTTGTCATAAGTTAATTTTTTCAATAAATTAACCTGTTTAAAGACTAGGTTGTGGCAGTGCTGCTTCTAACTATTTGATTTATTAGCTTGCTGTTTTTCCTTGTATTCCATGTGTCTACTTTAATTCTGTGCTTTGGATTTCAGTGAGCCTTTTGGATAGGCATCCTCTGACTTTTTCTCTTTTATTCAAATTCATTATTTACGATGCTTTTCTACTTTACTAGAAGTTTTTTTCCTTACGGTTGGATAATCTTATTTTGTAAGGGGTTGGTTGTTCCCCCTCTGCCCCCCCTAATGGTATCAAGGCAAAACAAAGGCAAGAATAAAGAGGTGGGAGAAACTGAGGAGATTTTTTTTTTAATAATGTTCATCAGCTTGAAAGTTGATGTTAGATTGTCTGCTTTTCCTGGGCTTAGTCCTCAGTCATTATTTATACATTCAATCTTGTGATGCTTTTGAGAAATAGAGTAGAAATGAGGTGAATGTGAAGAAGTTGTTTCTTCTTGGGCATCTCCCAAGATTTTGGCATCCTGAAATAATCAGTGATGGATACTGTGGCTCTTCTGGAACAGACAGCATGCATTTTTGGCATTTCAGGATGAGAGAGTGATGAAGGAAAGAACACCCTTTTTGGGATTGTGAAAGTTCTCAGGTGTGTTTTATATTGAAAGGCTACAAGTTAGCGTGAATGTACTGAATTAATGAAACATAGAAATATAAGGAGTTTTTCTCTTCGCAGGAATGTTTAGAATTTCATGGTGTGTTTCGTGGATCAGCTTGTGGCCATCACAGACCATATATTCCAGATGTTTTCTTCTGGTCTGTCATATTATTCTTCACAACATTTTTCCTCTCCTCTTTCCTTAAGCAGTTCAAGACCAAACGCTATTTCCCAACTAAGGTAATTCTGATTAGAAACTGTTGTTATCTTGTGATAGATACATTAGTATAACTTAATGGAGTTGCATTTTTTAAATTTTGCTTCAGAACTTTTTATTGAGAGATTTCTTTTAAGACAGGAAAAAAAAATTAAAACCAGAAAATTAGCTAAGAATTTGGAAGATGAAGACATTAGAGTAAATAAATTGGTTGCTGAAAATTCAGTACTTACTCTCTACTTTCCTATAGTTCCTACAACATTCTAAACATCAGAAGACCTAAGCAGTCTGTCTCCCTGTGTTAATGGATATTGCCAAGTATCATTTGAAGAGATAATTTTGCTGTCATTTTCCTCACCTAACTGTGCAGAACTATTGATTGCTTTCCCCAAACTGCTGATGTATGAAGAGTTCTGAGTGATTCCTCAGAGGATTATTATTTATTATAGAGTCTAATACAATGATTATTCTTAGACTGATGTACACAACTTCTGCTAGCCAAAATAACGCGATTAGATCTTCTGTAAACTTCAGCTCATCCCTACGATGTGTTCCTAATGTTTAATAAAGTCACCTCTGATAACCTGAATGTGTTGCAAGTTATCCCCTTCCTATCTATTAAAACATAAAATGTATGAATATTGGTTTTGGAACAATTCAGTGATGTTACTGAATTAAACTACAAGAGACCAGCTGTGATGGCCCAGCCTCCCGGTATGGTTGAGAGGACAGGAAGATGAGGAAGGAGTTACTTTAAGTAATTTGCTTCTTGCAGTAGATCATTTTTAAATGAGATAATTGGATGAACAGTTGTACAGAATACTTACCTTCTGCAGCTTCATGCTATGCTGCCAGGCAGCTTAAATTTTAAAATAAAAGGGAAAATACATACAGTGTTCAGTGGTGTAGTATAATATAAATAAACCTCACTATTCACAGGGGAGAAAGTTGTCTTTTCTATACATGCAAATTATAATGATGAAAAAGCAAGAATTAACACAAGTCTTTTCTTTATAGGTGCGTTCTACCATCAGTGACTTTGCAGTATTTCTGACCATAGTAATCATGGTTTTGATTGACTATCTTGTAGGAGTACCTTCTCCTAAGCTTCACGTTCCAGAGAAATTTGAAGTAAGAAATAAAACCTTTTAAAAAACTTAACTTTTTACTTACAAGGTAGTTGATGAAGTAATCTCCCTTTTCTGTTTTGGATGTATGTCTCGTCCGACAGAAGAGACTATGCTTTATATTATAATACCACTAAAAAGGAAGCATTCTTTTGTGCAAATGTGTGGAAATGAACGAATGGAATGGATTTGTTTTAATTTTTTCCCTATAAATGCCACATTCACATGTAACAGCTAATCAGTCTTTTGGTCAAAGCCATTGGAAAAAAATCTAAACATGTATTTAAGAGACTGTTGATGTGTTCATTGCAGCTGTTTGTAATAAAATCTGCATTTTATTTTAGTAATTTAATTCTTATCGTTGATGATTGGTTTATTTCAGCCCACCCGAAAAGACCGAGGATGGTTCATAGATCCTCTTGGAAGCAATCCTTGGTGGACACTCTTGATAGCTGCTGTTCCTGCTTTACTCTGTACCATTCTTATTTTCATGGATCAACAAATAACAGCTGTTATTATAAACAGGAAAGAGCATAAGCTGAAGGTAAAAGTAGTTTCCAAAAAGCTCTAATATTGTGCAAGTCAAGTTTATTTTTAATCAGATTCATTCTGCAAGTCAGTGAAACATCCCAACAGCTACTAAATAAATGCATATATTGCCTAATAAAGAACAAATATAATTTTGTGGACACTTGTGAAGTATCTAACTTTTGTAGTTATCTGTTATTTACCAGTTATGAATACCGTATTATATAAATAGAAAGTTTATGAAATGATTTGTTCCCTTAATTTTACAGAAAGGCTGTGGTTATCATCTTGATCTGCTCATGGTTGGTGTTATGTTGGGGATATGTTCTATCATGGGCTTACCGTGGTTTGTTGCTGCAACTGTCCTGTCTATAAGTCATGTTAACAGCCTGAAAGTTGAATCTGAATGCTCAGCACCAGGAGAGCAGCCAAAGTTTTTGGGAATCCGGGAGCAGCGAGTGACAGGATTGATGATTTTTGTCTTGATGGGGCTGTCGGTGTTCATGACCTCTGTGTTAAAGGTAAAATACAGTTTTTTCTAAAATATTTCTGTTTTCCTCTGTGCTTTTGATTTTGATATTGTGATTTAGCATTTCATAATATTAGGAGGTTTTATTATGTTAAGTAAAATATGTCTAGACTCATTCTCAAATCATGTTTTTAACAACAGGTGTTAGTTGAATAGAAACAATGGGAGGACATGTGAGAAAATGAAAGTTGAGCAAGCTAGAAATGTAGTGAGTACTGAAGAAAGCAGCCTTTGTCCATACTACCTGATTTTCTTGCCAGTATTTTCTAGTTTCTCGAGTCCATGTTACCTAAAACAGTTCTTCTGTAGTTTTTATGTGAGTTCATAAATGGAGAGACAAAAAGTGTGATAAAGATACAAAGTTACTTGAGCGGAAGTAATATAGCAGAAGAAACAGAAACATCTGGTTTAAAAACTGATCATCAGAAATTATGTTCACTTCTCACTCTTATCTTCATCTTATTAAACTTCCTTTGATATTTAAAGTGTCAAGATTATCTTATGCATCATCGCGGTGTCATAGAGATTTAGCAGGTTGTATTGTAGCCTCAGTTTACGTTTTGTCTCTTAATTTATATCTGTAGTGCCCTTCCAAAAACTTTGTTGGAAGAAAACCAGTTAGCTCAGTTAGCTTTTTGCTCAGATTTGAGTAAAATCTGTTCAACTTCTGCTTTGTTGTTTCAAATCCAATAGTTAAAAGGAGAAATGAAAAAAACATCTTTTTGTTGCCAAAATAGCAGATGTAGTCATATTTGCTAATATCTTAAAAGAACTTTGTAAGTCTGTTAAAGACAGATCACAAGTGATTTCATAAACAGGTAGCTTCTAATATCCGTTTAAGTTAGATAATGGCTAGAAATAAACCTGTGAACACACATATTATAGATTCTTAATAGTTGACCATGTGTATGTGTTAATGTAAAATCTAGAAACAATAAGGCAGTAGCATTTATTAAAATTGAGTGTTCAGATTTGACAATCTCTGGTTGAAAAGCTACCAAGAGCTCAGCTGTATAATGCAAATGATCGGAATCAAAAGCAGAAATATTGAAATAGAATTATTGTCGCTCAAAAGCAAAAGGTAAAGGTGCTGATTGCTGAAGCTAGATACTTACCCCGTGTTTTAACATCTGATTCTTAGAAACTAATACTTTTTTTTAATGGAACCAAGAATAATAGGAGTGGAATTACTACTATTTGCTTTTTATGAAATCTTTTTTCTTTTTCAATGTGAATGGCTGTTATTGTTCAAAAAAAGGAAGGAGAACAAAGCCATGTGTCTGTAGATTGTTGTGCTTTTGTTCCATGTATGAATTGATACTGATTTACATGAGGTAGAAGTTAACAGAAATGAAGTACTAGCGTGTCAAATTATAGAGTTCCAGTGAAGATACTAATATATATATACACACACAGATACATACATACGTATGCAGTAATGAATCTCTAAGGCATAGTTTTATTCGACACTAAGTTTCAGTAAAGGCTTTTGTTCAGGCTTGATAGCAGCAGTCTTTATTAAGATTTCGAATTGTGTCTTGGCTGTCCTTTACTCAGAAGTTTCATGAATTCAGGGGCAAAGAAAGCTTTGCTTGCTTTCTGCAGGCTGCAGAGGTTTCATGCAAGTGCCACTGAAATCAGTGGACAACTTCATTATCTTAGTAAGCTTTAAATTGATCTTCTTATTGGAGCAAAATTCAGCCCTGAATAATTAGCAGATTTTCATAGCTCAGTAGGTATGGTGTTTTTTTTTTTTTCATCTGCTCCAGGAGTGCAAGATTAGTGATCAAAATTAAAACTTTATATGGCAATTTCATGAAGTTGATAGTCTTAATACAGTTCTTATCAGATAACAACATAAAGCAGCGTACTTCGCATTAATAGAAATCTTGGTTGCAACCTAGAAAATTGAATGAATGAGTAGTCAAGACTGAACTGCTATTTTAATCCTGGTGATAGCCTTGTCGGCTCTAGATTTTTCTTGCTGCTCAATGATGCATATATATTCTGTATAAAGAGCCTTAGCTTTTACAGGTTTTACTTAAGTAAAATATAAAGCAGAAAATAACTTGATCCATCTCTTTTGACTAGTATGATTCCACAAATAACTATGTGGGTGTTTTTTCCTTTCCCAGTTTATTCCAATGCCAGTTTTGTATGGTGTCTTCCTTTACATGGGAGTATCTTCATTAAAAGGCATTCAGGTAAAGTCTGATTTTAATGAGCAATTTGTTTTTGTTTAACACTAAATGAAAAGGAAACAGTAACACATTATGTGAGCAACAATGAAGTTAGCACATATTGTCTAAGTAGTATGTAGGATAATTTCCTGAGCATCATGTTCAGATATTTGTTCTTACCATGTTGTGCCTTCACTTCTCGGTTCTTTTGCATTTATTCTTTCAGTAGTGTGGCTGACCACCAAATTATCTGAAACATTCTGAAATTTTGTAGTAGTAATGAGAAGGCGGGAAAACCCCCAACAAAACAAAACAACCCCCACCCCCATCCCCTTGAATGTTCAGTGTGCTTCATTAGTATTTTATTTGCTGGTAACTTATGTTTCTGGAGCCCTTCCAGAGGGGAAGAAAAAATTAACTGAAGGACGATTTTATTTTTCAATGCAGTTTTTTGACCGTATAAAACTGTTTGGAATGCCTGCCAAACATCAGCCTGACCTGATTTACCTGCGTTATGTGCCACTCTGGAAGGTCCATATCTTTACAGTTGTTCAGCTCACTTGTCTAGTTCTGTTGTGGGTGATTAAAGCCTCTGCAGCTGCTGTTGTTTTCCCTATGATGGTAAGTTATCTGTTTTACAAGTTAATAATTTTCCAAGAGTACATGCATCATCCGGGATCTCTTCAGAACATATTTGCTGCCTTAAGAAAGGAGTGGGAAAGAAACAAAAGAACCTGTAGAACAAGTTGTTAATTTTTTAAACACAAGGACTTTTCGTTTCCTGAAAATAAGCAGTTCAGTTGTGAATAGCTATTGAAAGTGGAAATTATTTAACTATTTAACTTTGTGGTAAGATAAAACTAGTACTACAAAAAAGGGCTTCAGTTAAACATTCTAAATATACTGAAAGTGTGTGTGCATTTTTGTTCATTTAAATAGTTTAGTATAAATAATGCCATTTATGGTTCCCTTAAGGTTCTAGCATTAGTGTTCATTCGCAAGCTCATGGATTTATGTTTCACCAAAAGAGAGCTTAGCTGGCTTGATGATCTTATGCCAGAAAGTAAAAAGAAGAAAGAAGATGACAAAAAGAAAAAAGAGAAAGCAGTAAGTGTGAAAACAACCAAACAAAGCATGTTGTAAATTGCTAGAGTATATGACCTTACATACCAAATAAACATTTTGAAATTCTTCACTAATGAGATTTAATGCTAGAGGAACTATTACTGGCAATAAAGTTAAGGAAAAGTCACTGTTTCAGTGGTGCTATTATAAACTATGACTCTTATTTGTGATTAAAATCAGCAAGCAAAGTGGAAAGAAGCATTCGTTAGCATAAAATGTTGTTTTCTTTGTCTTTTATAAGGTTAGAAGGTGGGTGTGGATGGGAGAGAAAAGCAGTGGAGTAGGGATCTTTACTCTGCTTAAATGAATCACACAACTGTTCATCATACCAGAGACATTTTGCTTGTGTGTGTGTGCAGAGCTGTAGTGAAAACCAACTGCTAGTTACCAATTATATAGTAAAACAACTTGTATGACTTGTCCATAAAAGCCTTACCTAACTGTACACCACCTAGCTGAATACCTTAAAAAACTTGTACTCCCCCATGCCCCCTGCCTGGATAAAACATTTCTAAGAAAAAGTTCTTAAACTGTATTTCCTGTACCTACAGGGAAATGCCCCTTACCCCTTTGGAAATTAACTGTCAGCATGAGATACTACTTTGATTTCTGCTGCATGAGTAATTTAAAAATTTTTTTTACTTGGAATTTACAGGAAGCAGAGAGAATGCTTCAGACAGGGGACAACGAAAGTGTACACCTTGCATATGGAGAAGCAAATTTGGATTTTCCTGTAAAAACTCTAAAATACAGGTATAATAAATTTTGGCCTTCGAAGAGTGTTTGTATCACATGCTGTAATTTGCTTTATAACGAGTTGGTTGTGTATGAGTTGAATTCATTTTTTTTCCTCAAGCTTGTAACTTGGCCATGATTAGGAGGTATGAAGGTATATCTCACGGTGCTATAGTAGCATTTTTATGTTGCGTTGTTCTTCAAAACTGCATCTTAATTATAAATTTACATGACCATCTTGAACAGATCAGATGACTCAGTTTCGACCAGCTGTACTCAAGGTGAAGAAGCTTCCTTGGTCAGTTCTCATGGAATACTTGTGTGTTACTGTGCATGAAATACTGAGTATTAAGCAACTAATAGCATCAGTTGAGCCGTGTGTTTACCAGCCACTTGGATTTTTCAGAAAAAATCTAAGTGTGCAGTTCTTTGGTTTATATAAGTGAGGGCTAAAGTCTATAATTTCTGTGATATAAAAAACTTTTTACAGGCAGTCATCTTTACTTTAAAAGGTCATTTTCTGAAAGTAAATGTGAGGACAGGGTTACTGGTTCTCTTCCAGAAAAGGAAGTGCTGGAATTTCTCTGATGGAAGGTTCCTTCAGCACAAGGCATTTTGTCTCAGTATGCATCTCTCTTACTGGGGATGTATTTAGCTTAGTTGTTGGGTATTCTACAACTGTTCAACACACCCAGAAGATAGAATCATAGAATTGTTTAAGATTGAGTCCAGCTGTTAACACTGTCAAGTTCACCACTAAACCATGTCCCTAAGTGCCACATCTACATGTCTTTTCAATACATCCAAGGATGGTCACTCAACCACTTCCCTGGGCAGCCTGATCCAATGATTGATAACCCTTTCGGTGAAGAAAGTTTTCCTAATGTTCAGTCCTCCCCTGGAACAACTTGCATGCCATTTCCTCTTGCCCTATCGCTAGTTAGTTGGGAGAAGAGACCAACACCCACCTGGATACATCCTCCTTTCAGGTAGTTGTAGAGAGCGATCAGGTCTCCCCTCAACCTCCTTTTCTCCAGGCTAAACAACCCCCGTTCCCTCAGCCACTCCTCATAAGACTTGTGCTCCAGACCCTTCACCAGTTTCATCACCCTTCCTTGGACACGCTCCAGCACTTCAATGTCCTTCTTGTAGTGAGGGGCCCAAAACTGGACACAGTATTCGAGGTGCGGCCTCACCAGAGCTGAGTACAGGGGGACGATCACTTCCCTGGTCCTGCTGACCACGCTATTTCTGATACAAAAGCCAGGATGCTGTTGGCCTTCTTGGCCACCTGGGCACACTGTTGGCTCATATTCAGCCAGCTGTTGACTAGCACCTCCAGGTCCTTTTCTGCCAGCAGCTTTGCAGCCACTCTTCCCCAAGCCTGTAGCATTGCAGGTTGGGGAATGCCTGTAGCATTGCAACATGTTGTGACCCAAGTGCGGGACCTGGAATTTTTGGATTAGACAGATTCCTGCTGACTGCTATTGTCTACTCTAAAGAGCAGGCTTAATCAGACTTAACAACTCAAATGAAAAAGCTAAATGTTAAAGCTTTTTTAAAAACCGTCTGAGTTGCTAATTGCTCTCACAGTGGAACTGATTTCATCAACTGTGTGCATGTGTGTTTACTATATATTTCACTGTCTTGCATCTTGTGGGGATTCCTGAGGAGAAATGGCTTTGTAAATTTCTATGCAGTTTGAAGAACTCCTACAGATACCAGGGGTAGATTCTGAAGCTTAAGTGTGGAACAGAACAGAAAACGTGACACCACCTAAATCTGCTGTACATATAAATGTGTGGAGGGCAAAGGGGGAAATAGGTTTTGAAAGCTTACCATCTGTGAGGGTGAACTTAACTTCTGCGGGGGGTGGGGGGTGGGAAGGTGACCAAAAAACCTTGAAGAATGTCTAGTAAGGCTCTGCAGGAAAAAAATTTACTTGAATTTTGTCTAGATATTGAGACTTCTAGATTTTTATTAGTATTCTCAACTGAGTTACTAGTTTGAAAATTTTATTAACATTGCTCTTTTCGCCCTGATTATTTCCTAGAAACAAAATAATTCTGATTTATGAAAGCCTTAGCAGAATAGTGTGATTAATTTCATTATTTCTGAGCACGCAAAACAGTTTTCTGAAGTTACAGGTAATTTAGAAATGAGGTATCTCTCAAATATTCTCAATGTCTTAGTAGTATCCATGTGAAAAAGTGTTTGAAGATGCTGTGTGATTAAGGCAGCACTAGAGCTAAATTTTCGAATTTTTATTGAAATACATTTGTAAGAGATGAACCCAACTTGTGGCTGCGTAAATGTTGAAATAGGCACAACTGATGTAAATGATGAGTGACAATAAGTATAATGCTATTGCAAGGTATTGAATACTAACCAGAAAGTATGTTTGTTCTTTAGCATTGATCCCTCAATTGTAAACATATCAGACGAAATGGCCAAAACTGCACAGTGGAAGGCTCTTGCCATGAGTACTGAGAATGCCAAAGTAACCAGAGCTAACCTGAGGTAGCTATAATTACTCACGCATTTTCTAACTATGGACTTGTGTTGAGCAGCTAATAGCCGTACTTGTATTTCTTGGAATGTGAGCATATGTGCTTTGTAAATCTGCGTTGACTTTTGAGGAACTTAAATTTGAACTTAATTTTTTGCTCTTTACTCTGAAGTTAAGCAATGTCTATAAGGAATTCCAATTATTTTATTAAATGTATTATTACAATTTTAAAGTTACTCTTTATTTGCTTAATACAATTGTATGCTACTCTGATGGGTTTAGTGTTTCTAAAAGCTTTACTAGAGTGTGTATGAGCATGGGGATCGTTTGATCCTGAACATTACAGATGCCAGTGGGAATAAAAGGTAAGCCCAGCACTTCCATTGTTGCTTTATGATACCCTTAGGATCTGCCCCTGGTTTTGCGTGTTGGTTGTTTTTTTTCCTCAGCTCAATTTTAATCTCTAAAAATTAAACCTGGCTCAAATATTATCTTCACTGGATATGAAATACACTTGAATGAAGTTCTGGACAGGTTAGGAGTCCTTGGTGCTATAAACATTTCCTGTAAGCTGACGTGTATCTTTTGTGATGGTCAGGAGCCTCTTTCTCAATGAGGTCTCCATCAGGCAAAAAAGTCTATATGCAATAAATCGTTCTGCTGTTCTATCCTAGTTTCTTCCCCATCTGGCTGAATCTGTCAAGAGGAACAACACAAATCCTGAATATTCATATAGAATATCTCTAACTGCCTGAAAGGCTTGTAATTTGTAGGGACTGATTTCTGTGGACTGTTCCATCACAGTGCAACTATTGCTTAGTAGTTTTTACATAGGAAAGAGGGAAGAATTGGCCTGGTTGATTCGGAAAACTAAGCTTATGCGATCCTGCTGTCTGTACATGCATCCTCTTTTGGTTGATTCCTTTCAGCCAAATCTGTCAAAGGAAGATATGTTTCAGAGGTACAAAATTGTCAAGTTTTGTGTAAAATTACATCTCGGTGGAAGAGGTGGTGGTGAGGGAGTGTTCATACGTGATCGTCCAAACTATCGGGTACTGTTTAGCTTGCATCATGGAAACAGCAGTAGTGACTGACCACTTAGCACTTGCATACTATCTGTTTACTAAGCGTGTGCATTGCTCCAAACTAGGCATGGCAATACGCTTCGTTTTGCCCAGACAGTAGGTCAACCAAGGGTGAAGAAGGAGACAAGGAGAGAACTTGGAGGTATTTTAATAGGAAGAGCTGAAGAGACTCATTAATGCAGGCACCATTCTCAGTAAATCTTCAGCCTGTATTGTTTAAACATTTTTAAATATTTAAATTTATGTTTTAAATATTTTTTTTAAATTTAAGTACCACATGAGCTAGACTGTCAGTAAGATAACAGAGGATGTGTGTCAGTATCCTGTTATATTTTGTTTATTTTCTTTCTTGCTAAGTTTTGAGAAACCTGTTACAGAATTAATGGATGCTTCTGGCTCATTACTGATAGTCATTGACTAGTCTTCAAGGCTTGAAGAGATGTAGACCTGTATTCCTCTTTCCAGAAGAACTAAAATTTTTAGATTTGGTTTTCAGGCAGCTAGAAGTTGGTACAACTCCCTCTTGCTGTGGGTGGTTGATTGTTGGGTTTTTTCCCGAAAAGATGTTTTGCAAAATAATTTCAAATCAATAGAATCAATAAAAGCAGTGGGACTGGAAATGGTATTTCTAGATGAGATCTTGGTGATTTCTTTCTTTAAGCTTGTACTGTTCCTGTGAATAGTAGTTAACAATTACTAGAATCTAACAGAAATGCATCATCGTAAAAGTATCCTTACATAAATACTTTCAGTGTTCATTGTTAAGCATAAAATGTTTGAAAGTTAACCTTTACTAAAACGAATGAAACTTTACATTTTCCTCTTTGCTTTCAAACAGCCCTGAAAAACCAGAAAGTGTGAAAATAAATGTGGAAGATTCATCTGTTGTGAAATACGTGGATGCTGAGACATCTTTATAGAACCAAGGGGAATTGCGTCTATTTGTGTGTGTGTATATATATCACTGTAGGATATTATACCATTGAAGTGTGATTTCCAATTTAAGGAGCAACCTATATTTAATTCTGCCATTGTTTAGGGCACTGTAGATATGCTTGCATAATGAGAAGATTTTCCTACAAATAAGATGAGTGGTAATCACACTTCAGCTATTTATTTTATTGGAAATTTTATTTTCATTTTTAAATAGGAAGATTGTAATGAATCCATATTATTTTCAATAATCAATATGTGCAGAAAAGTTAAATCAGCGTTTTCTGATGATTACTGGTCCACATTGCTTAAAATTTTGCAATACCTCTGTTTATAATGTGTGCTACAGAAGTTTGTTTTCCATGCAGGCAATTACTGCTTGTTTTTGCAGGGTATACTTTTTTTTTGTGATTTCATAGAACAAATATTAATGTGCTGTTGACAAGAACTACTGTGTTTTATGTCTCCACTACATGCTAGTGTTTTCTGGATTCTGTCTCTCCTATTTTACAGAAGTGGCCTAGAGCCCTAGGTCAGGTGATTAGTTACTCCTCAAAATATCCATAAATACCCTGTTCTGCCTTTTTTTTTTTTAAATTCACTCTTGATTTTTCATTATTGTCCAGTAGCAGTACGAGTCCAGTCATTGTAGTTACAATCCAAAGCCAGTATTTGCCATTCTGGACACTCCATGTTTACACAATATAAATTTGATTTACAGACAGCAATTTGGTTGATAGGAAGTTACACATACTTTCCACACTAGTACTTTCAAATTCTTTTGTTCCTGTTTTTACTTACATTTTTCTGTCAACTTTCAGAGTCTGATTTACTCAGCTCTAAGACTGAAACTTTAGAGTATTTCATGTCCTCATCAAATATTTCTTGCTTAATTTTTAAATTTACTGTGTATTTGATTACATTAGCTGTAGTTTAATTCTGTAATAGGTTTATGATCAGTATTATTTTATGGATTGCAAATTGCTTGTGGTATTTGTGTGTACAGTTCTGATCCTCTCCATTGTAAAGGGCATATATGATAGCACACCAACTTATTTTTAAACATTTTATTTATTTTAATTAGTATAAATTTTTATCATGTAATATGAATTGAAAAAGTAAATACTCATTTCTTAAAGTAAATGGGATTTTTTGGGGCTCACTGATGAAGATGCAGTCAGTGCATTTACATTTTCAAGTTCTAGTGTTTAGCATTATAATATTTGAAATAATGAGAATTTTATGTATGAATGAAAGTCTTGATCACTTACCTGCGCAGTTTCCATTATGAATATTTTTTTTTTGCCTCATATGCTTTTAGTTTTTTGGCTTTAACTTCTGAAATGATCTCTTTACATTCTGAATTGCCACCAGCCCTTTCTGGATGTATTGCAATGGCTTTAATTAGAATCTGTGCTCATTTAAAATCAAAGATGCTGTTTGCTTAATTCTGCATTTAGCAAAGTTGGGAGTTTTACCATGGACCATGTGGTAAAATTCTCAACAACTGCAGAAGGAGCAGAATTTTGGAGGAGGGTAGAGTTCATCTGAAAATACCATTTGAGGTGGAATTCTGGTGCTCTTCAGCAAAGTGTCACTTGGAGAGAAGACAATTGTGTATTACAAAAATAAAGCAATCAGTGGGAATACATAGAAACATTTAAAAATAGCATTTAAGTTACATGGACTGTTTTCGTTCCCTTTTAATGTAATGTAATTAAATAATCTTGGGGTTTTTTTCTTTTTTTCATTTGGCCGAATTCTGAGAAGACAGTTTATAGAAAGTAAACCATAATCCACAGCAATATGAATAATGCTGTCCAAACTGACATAATAAAGGCTCAGGTCAGTGGAGAAGCAAGAGAGGTCTGCATTATCAATTTGACTAATACTGTGTAATGACCTGTATAGATGTTCCTTTATTCTTAAGTAATAGTGTAGCTTGTGCCTTAGCTTAAGTATGTGCTCTTTCAGAAAATACCCATGTTTTCCTTCTAGTCAAACTGAGATAACAGTGAAAGTATAGCAGATGGTTTCCCAAAACTTTCTGCATTATTTAAAAAAATAGAAATACATAGGTACATAGGTACACATCTGCATGTCAGTTGTTGACTACTAAGTAGCTATTGCTGAATCAGAGGGAGGCTGTTTTGGGCAGTTGATTGATATGGCGTTATCCACAATACTTTTGTACTAGTCCTCCCAGTAGTATTTTACACTTCATGTTCACAGACCTGCAACAATTTCCAAGGACCCAAAAAATTATTATAAGCCTCTTAGATATTTTTTTTTAAACTCTTTAATGCTGGAAATCAGGGGTCCCTGGTGCTGCTTATCTTGTATCTCGCTTCTACTTCAGAAGGGTTAAGTTTTGGTCAATATTACAGGAAGTGGGTATTTTTCTAGTAAAGTTAAAAGGAAACAAAACCAAAGCCCCACAAGTCTAATCACAGTATTTATTTAGTTTTAATTGCGTAGATATTTTAATGGGTGCCAGAAATACCATGACTTGCAAAGCAGTTTACAGTGACCGTTAGCTCCAGTGTTCTTGGTCAGTAGCATGTTATGCTTGCACTTTTTCCATGTGAATAGAAGAAGATCTGGTATTAAGTGCATAAAACCCCATTGATAATCTATTGTTAAGTGATTTGCTGCTCACTTTACACCTTCTCTGCTTTAAAACCACACATAGTATTAAAGTAAAACAGCTAAGGATGTAGCTTACTGTATGTAGATATACATTTTGCCTTAATGGATGCAAAAGAGCAGTGATAATTACTGTGCACTGTTTGTTTTTTTCACAGGGGTTAAGCCCTGTAAAAATGACGCCAATGTATTTCCATTCCAACAGTTAGAGGAAAGTAAACAGCCCTGCACTTTTTTTTAGATGCCTTGGTTTCCCGGAATGGAGCTTAATGCTACTGTGTATCTGGCTGCAGAGCCATCTCAGGAAGTCCCTCTTTTTTTTTTTTTTCTTTCCTTTTTTCTCCCCTCTGTTTTTCTTTTCTTTTTCTAATTTATTTATAAATATGAATGTTTACGTAAAGTGTAGGTCTTAATTTTGACCACTCCATTTAAATTATCATTTAAAATATTTCACTTAAAATGCAGCTGGTGTTTAAATTATATTCTACAAAACTCATTCTTAGTATTTTCATATGTATTACAATGACACACTTTTCATTCTGTTTACATATGCCCAAGTTAATGACACTTTCTTCCTAGGTTAATTTTGCAGCTATAACATAATATCTGATTATTCAGTGAAATGTTCCAAATTGCCAAGTTGGTCATCCTAAAACCTGATAGGGTAGAATTTGGTGCCCTAGTGGGGGGGTTTCAACCAAATGTCTTGGCTATTTTGGGGTTTTTTTTTCTACATTTAATGAAAGTTCTCCCATAAGTTAGCCGTTTGCTTCACCTGCATCTCTGTCTTTATATGGTAGCTTCCTAATTCCGTGCCCTTTGCAAAGGCAGGTTCGCCAGGCTGTAAAATGTATCTGTCACAAGAACTAGGTGTAATGTGGCGGAGCCTGCACCATTTTAAAGGGTTGTCTTGTACATCTGTTCTGTAAATCATAAAATATGTGGTTCGTGATTTTCAGTTCACAAATGTAGTCTGTTTAGATGAGCACCATCATGATTTTAGTGTTCTTCTTGCTTTATATGATTAGTAATGTTTTAATTACTCATCTAGGTCAAATTGATTATCAAGTACAGTACAAATGTGTGAAATACTTTGTTTATACCAACAGTAATTTATTTTACAGCAAATTTTAAGCCTAGAGGCACACAGCTTTGAGTCGGTGTAAAAGTAGTGCTATAAATAAAGTAAATTGCTTAGTAATTTTAAGTCGATTTTATTTTGTAACTTTTTTAGTGAAAACTTGTAGGACTTCTTAGTTGGCATTGAAGTTAATCTAAAGACACTTTCATATTGAATTTAGTATCTGTTGACATTTACTTGGAATAATGAGAATAATGGAAATTGAAAATCAGTACTTTTCTAAATGATTTTATTGGCAAGACACAAAATTTGTAATTGTTTTCTTTCTATTGTTGCTGATACTCCCTGAGCAAAGGTGTCTTCCAAGGTTTGGCATCTTGTAGCTGAACTACACTTTTGATTTTAATACTGATTATTTGAAATGTGATCACATACTGTACGGTTCGAATTTTTTATGACTGCTTTTCTAATTACAACGATGTTTTCTTATTTTCTAACAAAATCCAAAGCAAATGAAAATGTTATTCCAAATGTAGAATCAATACTCAGTTTATACAGAAAACACAACTCTCAGACTTGTCTTTAATGTGAAAGATCCAGCCTTTGTTGTTTTAATTAGAATAAAATTATCTTTTGTAATGTTTCAGAAAGTTGGTAAAAGCAATAAAAATCTACTGAACTATATTTTATGGCTTTTTCTGGGTTTATATGCAGCCGGGGGGAGGGGGGCGGTGAGGGTGTGAGGGCCGCTC